AATGACGCCGTTACGTACAACGTCCTACAATCGTCGTGCAATCGAAAGCTCCCTACCATGTGTTAATTTCATCTCAAAATCAACTTCACCTCTACCTCAGCATCTTCTACACATGAACTTGCTAATTTGGTTTTCAAACGCAATTAAAATTGACTCTGTATCTTGTAATATTATATAGACACTGATTATGAAGAGTGAAGGTACTAATGTATTATGAGTACAGTAATTATAAAATTAAAATATACCTTAAAATTATCAAGAGTGAGTATACACACAAATTACTGGATGGGTCTGTTGTAGTTGATGCTCCCTAAGTCCCATCAGTGGCATATCTAGGAGGTGGCACACGTTCCTCCCCCCACTGAAAATATTTGATGTATTACACTCAAGTAGGTTAGTCACTTTATTTTGTGAGCAGTGCCTACTCACTTAATCCTCAGCCATTATTTGTCATTATTATGAAAACCAATGAATGTTTAGCTTTCTGTATACTACTGGATATTAAAAGTTGGTTGCCAATAAAAAAATAAAAAACGGACTATTTTGATAATTATTTTTCATATCATTTGTGAATGGGGTTTATTTTTAACACCAATCATAAACAGAGTACCTCAGTCCCTGCAAAAGGGTTAACCCTGAATTTGCTAATACTTTGGAATACATTAATCTGGGATAATCAAGATGAAGTTTTCCTATTATTATTTCCTTAAACTGGAACAAATATTTTGAACCTTGCTACTGCAAGAATCTAGGTCTCCAGTAGATGTGATAATCCAGGTTTATCCAGACTGTAACAGGGGATCAAGGAGATTATCCAGGAGGATGTATCTTAATGGAAGATATCAGCCACCTAGATTCCACTTGCAGTGTCCTTGATCACCATTGATACGAAGGGTTCAGGCCCGTATCCAGCTTTTTGAATGGGGGGGTGCGTTTTGCGAGCGCAGCGATCAACCAGACTGGGGTCAGGGGCCGCCCAGGGCCCCCGGTGGGGGTCCAGGGGCCGAAGGCCTGGGAAAAATTTGCTTTCTTATGTCCTAGTAGACTAATTTGAAGGCATTTTATCATGTTAATCTCTATATGTCCGTGAACACAGCGATAGGGCCTATCAAAAAATTACCAGTGGAGGACATGGAGAAACAAGCAAATTGTTTCCCAAATGAAAAATACTACTGTATAAATTCGTAACCATTACGAATTAAAAATTCAAAATCAATTCTGCTTTTAAATGAATAATAGCAAAGTTTGATATAAAGCGTGGATTAAAAGCGACTGTAAATGAGCTGATTCAAACAACTAGAAGCATTTGAAACAAATTAATCAACATTTTTATTCTTGGCATCGACAGGTAACATATACAGAGGTATAAGCATAATTATACTGTATGTATACGCTATCTATCCATTGAAACTGTGACAGGGTATACTGTATAAAAGGATCATCATGATACAAGTAACGTTGTACGTTTTAATAGCAACAGCACTTACATTTTTTTATAAGAGCACATTTTATAAGAAGAATGAGGCTATCGAAATTGCGGAAAAATTAAGAATAAATTAAGGCTAAGTTAAAATGCCACAAATGAGGTTTTTATTTTTTAGTAGTAGTAGAAAAACCAACAAACGTTGAGTATACTCGTCTCAGGGTATTTCTGAGAGTGGTAGGAACGATTATACTTGTCTAAACCGGGATGTCATTCTAGCATTTTGACTTCATTGCTATACACTGACACAGGGGCGGATTTTGGGAGTTAAAAAAAAAGAAAAAAAAAAAAAAAAAAGAGAGAAAAGAAAAAAATGATAGCCCAGAATGACTCAAATGTTATGTTCGGGCGTCTTGAACACAAAAATTTTGCGGGGCATGCCCCGGACCCCCTACGACAATGTTGTCTCAATCGGCATAACTTTCGGCCCCACTTCCGGCCTCCCCCTTTTTTGGACATTTCTGGATCCGCCCCTGCACTGACATACCGGCTGGTAGTTAGGGGAAGATACACCTAGACGATAAGGTGCATATGACGTGAGTATGTTTGTTGTATTATGTTGCTGGCAGTACAAAAGATTGCGCGTGTGGAGTTAGCACTCTAGTATTCTTATTGTAACTCATTTGTACATTCATACAATCTTAATACTGTACTGTTATGTGATTCATTTTATAAAGATTCTGGGAACAAGGTCACATTTTTTTTGGTTATAATTAGTGGACATTTTTCGATTTGGGGGGGTGCGTACGCACCCAACGCAACACACTGGATACGGGCCTGGGGTTGTGGCCAGTTGGAGGGGGGTTGGGGGGCTTTCTATCTTAGAGAAAAACAGTTTGTCGGGAACATAAACAAATTTAATGCATTTTTCAGACTAAATTGAATAAATCCAGTAAGCCTTTCAAAACCCTATTGTCACAACTACTGAGGCCTCGTTCCCCCTCCCGATCCCTTCTGAGGGGTTCTGAACAACCACTGACCATGTCCACTTATTGTCTCGGACATTTTTCCCTTTTGGGGACAACATTCTGTCACTGCACGAAAGTGAAACTTCTGGCTTTTAAAAAGTTTTTAGTTACTTTTTTTGCAATGGTCATCACATTTACACCAAGGTGGAGGTGCAAGAGCGTAGATGGCGTTATACGCTGCTAACCAGCCAATCACAGGACAATAAATTTACAGAAATATTTGAACATCCAAATAAATAACCACAACTTGGCTGCTTTAAAAGTTCTAAAAGCATTGTTTTAATAGATACATTTGAAAAAACAATCATCATTGTTTAGTACCTCTGTATGCAACACTGAACAGAAATAATCTGTTGATGTTCTCATATCTTGATCATTTGCTTCATTGAAAGTGGCAATATCCTTTTTGCTACTAAAGATTACTAATACTACAAACAAGCCTTTGTTCTGTGTGGCTTTAAAAATGCTTAAAAGTCCATGTGCCCCACTTCATATAGTTTGGCTATGGGCAATTGCTTAAAACTGTTACTTGCCAATAATTGTTGCTTTTTCAAAAGTAATACTAAGCTCTGAAGTATAATCAATATTATTGCTCAGGTTTAAGGTTTATTTGTTTGTACATTGTTCACGTTCGTCTTTTGTTTTATCGAGAAATCTATACTTTTGCCAGTTACTTCGTATTGATCTGGGGAGAAAAATAAACTATAGTACTGTACCTTGCTTGCCTATAAGTACACAAACAAGTGGTCAGCTTTGACTGGATTTGAATCTGAGATGTTTTGAAACTAAAAGTTGTACTGTTGTGCCAATTTGTTCCACACAACACATAAACATTGTGATACAGTAGTTATAGAATTAGTTATGTTAGCAAATGACTTTACAACAATATACAATATTGCAGCAGTGTTTAGCAAGTGGCATCACAGTGTGTTCTCTCCTCCTCCCCCTCCCAAAAAAAAAAAGAAGAAAAATCTCCTCCCCCTCCCAAAAAAAAAAAAAAGAAGAAAAACCATTGGGGAGAAAAAATGATATCAGCTATTTTCTACATATTAGTAGACTATCCCTATACAATTGATTAAATAATTGATCCTTACCCCTGAATTGTCATATTTTTTGGGGCTTTGCCCCATCCCCCCGGACCACTTTTGAGACACTTTGAATGACGCCTGACTATGCCCACTTCGGGCCACCCCAGCATATTTCTCCCTAAAATTTTGCATTGCCCCTCACTTGCTCCCCCTCCCCGATTTCTGATGCTGGTGCCACCACTGTTTAGTTGGAAATAGTGTAGGCCTACCATACTTCTGTCAAAATTAGAAGGTGAGCCTTGTCTCATAGGGACTCTTGGTTATGATAATAAAAATAATTATTATTTCCAGTGGGGTCCATAATTGAAAATTAATTATTGGTAAAAATATTAATATTCAAAATTTTTAAAATGACATAAAAATATTATTAAATAAATCCTACATCTAAAATATTATACTGAATTTTATTGATGATAAAATTAGTATGTCATTCCTAGTAACATTGTTTAAATAATAAACAAACATATCAATTACAGTTTCTGTAGTCAGACAGAAGTAAGTTTAGCATCCACTAATATGCACTGTCATCACTTCATAAATTAAAGTATTTTCCTAGAGGTCAGCTTATGTGACATCAGCCTATCTTTCTCCTCTCACCATTCCCTGGCCACTGTTCTATTGTACCAACGCTGAAAACATTCCAGATATGCTCAGTACCAGTGAATGCTTTCATTGTCAACTTAAATTGTTGCAAATCTTGACTTAAATCCTGACTTAAATCCTGAGTAAAATATGTCAAAATGTATTAAAAACTGGCTTCAATTGGGTATTAGAACACCATTGGGATATGGGCCTCTGATCTATCGATTGCAATCCCCACCTTTATGTTTCCTTTTTGTGTAGAAATGCATTTAGTCTTTAGAACAAACAAGACACAGAATTCAAGAAAATTTACTGTCTTCATTAAAATACAAATATATTTAGTACAATACTTATTTCAATGAAGGGCAATGAACCTTGTAAAACTGATAAAATGTGACTAGATGTTACAATATAGGCCTATCGTTAATAAGACTTGGCATATGGAATTTTACATAAATACCGGTTAATTGATCAGTGATATTTTGGTGTAGCATATCCAAATATGGGGTAATATGAGAAAAACAATGAGAAATAGTTGTTCTCAACAATTATACCAGTGAAAAAAAGAAATATATGTAGGGCTTTATATTGATTAAAGTTTTATAATGATCTTGTTAATAATACATTATATTGATTTACTCAGCATTATACAAATACATATTTATAGAATATTGGTAACTTTTTATGATACATTGAAACTTCATACTATGTAGATCATAAATATTGCCCTTATTCTGACCCCAATTAAACACAGTACATTGGATATACCTAGGCCTATATTCCTAATACTATATGCCATGCATTTGTACTAAGTAAACCTATGTTGCATAATAATAATAAAAATAATGTACTAGTTTCTCTCAATGCTGATAAATCTGTAGAATGTGTCCTTTTATGGAGGTAAGTTTTATGTTTTGTTTTGCTAAAACAGAAATCCCTCAAAAACACATGGAATTCTACAACACAGGTTTACTTGTGTACATAAACATTTCTGCTAGAGTGGTTTTAATTCACCAGTCAAAGTATGCACTGGTTGTTGTCTAAAGTATGGTTTTATCCTGAGGGCATGGTGAAAAGGAAGGCCTCGTATTTGGTAGTTCATCCTGCGGTGTAGCATGCTAGTTCACTTACATCCCATAGGAATAAAACAAATGCAATATCCTAGTGCAGATCTTTATTGAAATACCAGGAAGAAATATAGCAAGCAATGTAAACTATACTTAAGCAACCATCAACTGAGTATTTGATCTATTTATATATAATGGTGCAGGAAATGTAGACAGTGTACATTGCACTTGGCCATTATGTTGCATACATAAATTATTTTGAGGTACATACAATTCCCCAGTAAATAATTACCATGTGGGCGATTGAATTGAAGGGGTTATTGCTGAGTATAAGACGATGTAACGATCAATAAGAATAGAATAGAGAGGTTGGTAGGAATCATTAGATCATGCTTGATTTGCTCAAGGGTGTCTTCGTTGCATCGTTTTTTAACCTCATTTTTTAGTCGTGCTCTGAAAAATAAGCTGATACACAATGAGATTGATCTGGATTTTATTTAGCAGCCTCTTGTCATGCAGTTACGCCGATGGGCTACACATTAATATTTATTTGCTGCGTTGAATCAAAACTACTGCACAGAAATAGCAAATGCTTGGGACTTACTGTCTACAAAACATTTACATATGGGAGTTATAATAGTTTAAAAATAAATAAATGAAATAATAAAATTTATTAGCTTCATTAATTAAACTTTAGCCACTTAACAATTTAATATGTGAATCAAAACCAATAAAAACATCTTAAATTCCAAGGCTTGAGTCATATTATAAAGGCAACAAAATTCATCCCACCAAAGCAGGCAAGCATATTGTCTGGGTTGAATTTGTTCTGCTATCTTCAGCGTATAGACTTTCAATAAGAAGGTCACGTCTCACCTTTTTGTAAGTCTAACTCCAGACCAGAAACCAAACAACGTAACGCTCCATCAGAGTTCACAATGAATGAAAGCAAGCCAAAACCTGGCTTTGTGCAGTTATCCTGTGACCACTCCTGAGCCTCTGTAAATAGGTAGACAATAACAATAGACCAATGCCCCTAGCAATACCTCTCTTTAAACAAACAGCACTGTTAAAATCATCTCTGTTAAAATTATAGACACCTTAGTTGCATTCTGCATTTGTAAAATGGTTGAAAACAAATTAATTTAAATTAAATGTTATTTTTCATGGTAATATTAAAAACTTGATTTAGAGGGAAGATTAATTATTTAATGGTTTAATTAGTTCCCACATTAACTCGCAAATGTTGGCTATGACAGTCAGAGATTTGTGGGACTTACATATGTTCTTACTGTCAAGTCCAATCAGTATTGCAGGACGGTGTCATGTTTACAGTTTAACCCATGGCACATTTGGAATTGAGCTGACTTAAACTGTCTGATAGTAAAAGATTCTGCAATTGAATCGGATCGTTTCTATGTCTTGCTCTCATTAATGATCGCTTCAGAAGCCTCTTGGCGCTTTTCCAAAAAATCTCCTAATCAGCTTTACACATATAGGCATTTATTCATTTATTCTGCACAGGAGAAGTGTTTTTATTGACATATTCTAATTTTAAAGTTGACAAAGCAAACCATTTGTTTTTAACATTTTATGGTACTGCACATTATCCCATTTCGATTGCTGAAGCCATTCAATGATCTATGGAAAAGTAATGTATGTTGATTTTAACTAAATTATTGTTAATGTGTAAATGGTTTAATGGTGGACTTTCTGTGAATGAAACTGGCTACTAATAGGTGTAATGCGAAAGCGGCAGGAGTCCGACTCGTGTGTGTTGATACAAGTCTATTCACCGCGTTTCAGTTCAGCAGTCATCGACCCCATGTGACCAAAACAGCTTCAAATAAATCTATATTGCATAATAATCTAACTTAATAATTCGAAAATTGAGCAAAAATGGTGTAGATATGCCATAAAATAGAGGTTTTTGGGTTTAGTCATATGTGTTCTGAATTCAATTCCTTAATCATATAGCTTATACTGTTTGATTTATTTTATAAGTGTAACAAATTCCTGTATGATTTGGCTTCATTAGTTTCGTTGCAGATGTGGTTAAGGTCGGCAGTAGTTGCAAGGAAGTGAGGTAGATGAAAGCAATTGGGCCATCTGTTTTCCAGATGGTTCATTTCCATAATAAGAACTTGAATTTTTAATTTAGCAACTGGGGTTGAGTATAATTCTGAAGGTTTTATTGGCAGTTAAAATGAATTTTCACTAAATCAATATCATTGGATATTGTTGCTTTAAGCTCGTAAAACTTGAAATTTTCATCTGAGATAATTATGCATTATTGTGGTGCTTTATTATTTAGTAGCAGTTTATTTTTTTACAGGATTTTTATTATTATAATCTAATTAATATGTACCATTTATATAACATATTTTAATATTCAATTTGTATCGTCAAACATTGTCACTGTATGTTAAAATTACATATAGCAGCAGTAACATCTTCTGTATTTATAGTATGCTTGTTAATTAAGTCATCCATTTATTTACAAATGTGGACTCTTTGCTCAAATAGCATAAAAATCATAGATAGAAATTGGTTGACATTGTGCGATTCTCACAAACTTAAACTAATTCGAGTTCAATTATTCACTGGCTAGTCGATGCAGAAATCATCATGTAATTGCTGATTGGCGACAGAACGCCAATTGAAGTTTCTCACTGTTTACTTGCGGTGCTCGCCTTGTCTAATCAAGAGCGAGACGTTGCGCTATCTTGTGATGTGGGTACAATCTACTCATAGATATTGCAGGTAAAAACTGTCATTTGCATCTCAACGTAGTTACACAAATTGCAAACCTCATCTCATTCACATACTGAATGCATAATGCTCTGAACAGAAATTTTGTAAATAGGCCTACTCTACTCTACTGCTTCATTTTGTGTGTGTTCTATAATTGCACGCATAAATTTCCATGGCGATAACATATAGCCGACATTTACGTTATGAAATGAAGACGCAATACAATATAAATCATGTAATTATTGATCCATTTTGCAATGATTTTAAATACAGTTTTGGTTGTAATAATTTGCGTTTATGTTCTTAGATTTCCAGTAATGATAATAAAAATAGGAAATATATGTTAATTTGTGTCAGTCTGAAAGCAGAATGCTATTGTATTAGATGTTATTAAGCATTTTTTTTTAATTGTGGCTATTATCATCGTAGATTTTCAGTAGAAAAACAATTGAAATTGAAGGCGAGACCAGCGTATGCTTTTATTTGATTAAAATGAGTATATGATGAAAATTGAAAAGCTCTTTACTTGATGTAGCACTTAAAGTTCATATTCATGACAGCTACACTTTACATTTCAGATAATCACATTAATACAAAAATATGCATTCATGCTATTCATACGTCGTATCAAAATTATAAACCCCTCCCCCTAGCCAGAAGGACCCTACTGGAAATAAATTTTGGGCTTTTTTTGGTTATCATTGGTATATTTCACACCAAAAAAATCCATTTCATTTCATTTATTTCGGCCAAAGAACATTAAAATTGATAAATACAAAAAAATCAGAGAAGAAAAAACAAAAATCAAATTGGCTGGACAGGATTGCCAAAAAGTAAACTGAATTACTGTCTAGTGGATCTCCGATGCAAATGAAAACAGAAATTAAATTAGCATAAAACCGTCAAGTAAAATCTCATTAAAATATATGAAAATCATCAGTGAAATTCTTCTTACAAGGGTAAAATGCGAGAGTTACGAAGTATTAGAATACAATTATTGCCTTGGGAGGGAATGTATGATTTATCCATGTTGTCTCTCTCTCCACCCTGAAGTACTCTATAAATAAGTGAGTACCTGGTATGTATAAATGCCACTGCATTGATTACTGGCTGCAAAATTATAAAATATATCCCCAAGGAACTTTGTATGTGTTTTATAGCTCTTTGATCCAATGACCGGAGTAATAATATCATGTCCATAGAGGCTAGGCAAAGTTTGCACTACCAGTATGTCTTTTACTGACACAGTATTACTATTGTTTATATATATTTGGAGTACAAATTATGAGGATGGACAACATATACATTTATCATGCCACCGTTATGAGTCAGAAACTGATTATCCCATAAGCATAGACATCAATATAAGATTGTTCAATAACAATAATTATGATAATGATATTAAAGCATTTATGCACCATCTATCTACGTGTACCTATTTCGAGATGGAACATGACATAAAGGATAAATAGAGGGTATTTATTTGGAAAACAACACTTTAAGATTAGTGTGGCGTACTCTCAAACATTGTGGTGTGTTCAATAAGGATAAAAACTAAGTAATTAAAAAACTAGTATGTCATTGCATCAACATAATATACGTATAACTTATAAATTTATAAAGAAACATGATTTTCATATAATAATTTGTGTGCCTTTTTACAATTTTACTGACAAATAACAAGTCGCCAATATTTACTGTAGTAGATAAGTGAAGTTCGAAACAGTGCATTTGGAGTTGTTGCGATTATAATATATAATACTCTGCTCGGAGCTCAACCACTTGATAGTTGGCAAAGTGTGGTTATCAACAGCGTACTTTCTTTGCTCAAAGGACTCAGTTATATGTCCATTTTCATAAATTCAATTTACTATTAATACTAGGAAATTTATTCCTGGCTGAGAATGTTTAATATCAATAATCATAAAAATTGCATTCAAACATAAAATATAAAAACAAAATTATAAAACTTAAGCATCACCAAAAGTGTTAGAATGGACATTAACAAGTTACTCATTTGATATGAAAAGATTTATCAGATAAATAACTGAAGATTGTAAAATATAAAAGCCCACATAATATTTTATAAGCTCTTCTATGACTATATAAAAAAAGAAAAAGAAGCATACTGTTGTATTTTCAATCAAGGACAGTTTATTTAATTCTGTTGTAACATCAGCGCTACATGTTTTCTTGATGCGTGTATCTCCAAGGAGACCACTGGATTAGATGATTGTCTGTCTGGTCTCCAAGTGCAAAAAATATCAACTCTGAAAACACACAAGCTTAAAAGATTTGAATGCTGTGAAATGAATTATTTGAATAGTTAGAAGCATTATCTCTCGCTTTGGTTTCAATTAAATATTCATATTCCTCAGTAGAAAGTTTAATGCCAATATGAATAGTGGTTACTGGGGGCTATCGAAAGGTTTTCATTTTCTTTAAACCGGATGCCGATAATATTTCTAAACTGTCTACCTGGCTTGTATGCAAATTTTCTGTCTACAAATACCAGATTGCCCATATTTGGGTGTGATATGACATCTTGATGCCAATATTTGGGTGTGATGTGACATCTTTCCCATATTTGGGTGTGGTATAACATCATCATGCCCATATATGGGCATAGTACAGCTTTAATATTGCACTGTAGTGATGAAGAACATTATAATGAAATAGAAAAGGTAGCTGTGTTAGTCTAAATGATGAACAGTTAATAGGACAGATATAATACAAACAACACATTTACAGACTAACAAATTTTATTGATACAATTATGATCTTTCGAATAGACAATGGTCTTCTGGAAAATGTCAGTGAAATGTCATTTGTTTTCTATTTACTGTTTAATATTGAAAATAAAAATTCAATATTTAAATTACTTACTTTATATATTTATATTATAATGTTAGCTCACAATCTAAATTAAAATAATATTATAACACAATTTATGTTAGAATAATGTTAGCGCACAATTTATAATTGGAACAAGACATCTTATCCTCGTAAATAACCAACCATTAATAATTACATTCTTCTCTATGTATTACCCTAAAATTTTCTGATAATAAACATATAAGAATTTTTTAGTGAGGGTTTTGAGCTCTCATTAGAAATTTAATAATTTTATCCTGATGATTTAATTTTACTTTAATTTAAGAGGTTTTCTAAGTTTATTTTGTTGTAAGAATTCTATGTCAATATATCAAAGATAGATAAATGAACATAAATTTTAACCCAGAATAAACACAGGGGTTGTTGTGATACTGTTTAATATTTTTCAGTGATTCTTTATAATAAGAATAATATGAATGTAAACACAAACATGCTTGACAGTTCGTCGGTGTTATAAAACCATATTGTCCTAATATACACGAGCATGCACTTGAAAAAAAAATTGATATCCGCTCGAAAAGTCTAATCAAATCAAGTTTTATTAGTCCCACAGGCGATTACATGGCGAATAATCATCGCACAATAAATTGAAACATTAACGAATTTGACACAGATAAAATTTCACAGACTCACACAGACATTAGGAAGTATATTGTTGTAAAAAGAGACAAAGTAAACAAATGTTTATTGTTGTTTTTTTACTAATTAAAATGTAATGATTTATTTAGTAAATTGTAATTTTCAGCGATAAGCAAATTGTATCATTAGACATTACATAAATAAATATATATGTTTATATACTATTTAATTTGTAATGATTTATTGAGTAAATTGTAATTTTCAGTGATAAAGCATATTGTATCATTAGACATTACATAAATGTATATATTATGTATATGTATATATATATATATATACAATATATACAGATAAACAATAAAATACACAATAATAACACTGCTTGAATAAGAACTTGATATAATTTTTTTAAAGCATAGCCCTTCAATGAAAAGGTCATTTTCATGCAGTGTTATTATTACATTGAACGGCTATGCTTAATACAAATATATGTCCCTATTTCAACACTGTTATTATTTATTTATTTTTTTAATATTATATTTTGTTTTGTTTATGGTGCTATGCAGCAAACCTTATATGTATATATGTGTGTGTGTGTGTGTGTATATGTATAAACAAGCCTATACCTTGATTCATCCCAGTGCTTAGATACCTAATATGATGCTCTATTTGCTACCATATTCCGAGTGAATGTGTAAAAACCAATAAATATAGCAAGTCATATGATCCATGAATAATCTAGGTCTTGAGTTAGCATTTGTGTATATTTACAATGTGCCTGCAGTAATATATTTGTTTATGGATGGTAATTATAATTTGCTTGTTATTTTTATATACACCTTTATATCTGTGGCATTTTCATTACAAAACAGGTATAGTTTATATAATAAATTCCTGTTTATATTTTATATACTTGTATTTAATTTTCTTTTCTTATTTATATTTAATAAGACAAATAGAAAAGAAAAAGATACTCATTATATATATTATATACAATATATACGGTATTAAACCACACTGATTTGTTTCTATTGCCCAACCCTTCTTTCTTTCATGGTACATTCCTGTTCTTCCTGTTCACTATTTGTAAATAAATTGTTTAGTATTTCCTTAAGCCTGTCAATCGTCATGGTGATGTATATGTGTGCATCCATTCGTTATTTTTTTTCCATAACTAAGTAATATATAGTTGGCAAGCGATGTTTGTCTGTTCCTTTTTGTATTCAAATGTAGTGCTTCCTGAATCTTGAAGATTCTGTGAGGTAGATCTGTTGACTGGCCTTGATTATGCATACCTAGGTCATAGGTCATATTTATCACTTCCTATTAATTCTAAGCACTTTTATATATAACTGTTAACTTTAATGTAGCAGTCATCAACACCTGAGCTAAATAGTTGATGGTTATTCTGCCATGAAGCATGTCAACTGCATGTCTAGTGCACCATTTATTGCCACAAGTTAAGTGCTGTACGTCTAAAGATGACTGATTTACATTTATCACTTTGTCAGCCATGGAACTGGCTTACCATAAACATAAATAAAGATTAGAAAATAAAGAAACTGTCTTATTATTAATTAATTATTTTTTATTTTATATATTAATAGAAAAAATGATATAATAATGTTAATGTTGATACTATTGTGCATTTATAATGTGCTGAATATCTATCTCAAATGTTCATCGTATAGTGGATCGGACCATAGAAAAATGTCAACAAACCTTACATATGAATAAAATTTCATGACACAGTATATCTTTATTATCTTGATTTAAAAAGTGCAACCTTTGAATATAGTATGTAATATTATATTAACAAAACTGTAAACATACCAATATACTTCCATCACTTTAAAATTAGATTTGATTAAATATAGAAATAACTAAGTATAATAATGATAGGGGTATGAATAATATATCCTTGTATTTTTTATGTCGTCTGGGGGGAAGTAGAGGAGGGAGGGGCGGGGTGATAGAGTAGCAATCAGTGCAAGACCTTGGTCTGAGAATAGTGAGTTTCTGGGGTTTTTGTGGAGTACAGAGCGCTTATGTTAAACAGAAGCTCATTTTATATCTAAATGATTTTTCAATTGGTTCCACTTTCACTACCCCTGGATCAGCCACATCCTGTAAATAAAGTACAAAAATTGCTTGTCTTCTATTTAAAAAAGACAAAAAAAAACTGTTAGTTAAAGCCATAGTTGATATAGTAGACAATTTGATCACCATTATAATATTCTGTATTCATTTGGGAATTAGTGGTCCTGTTTAAGGGAAGTTGTACAGCAGTTGCAAGCCTCTATTAGCAGCCAAAAATAACACCATCATTTCTGTCCATATGGTAGAGAAGTACATACGTTACTGGAAGCATATCAGCCAAAAAATTCAAATTCTAGAAACAATTGAGACGCTGTTTAATTCCCAGAAAATGTTTATTTTCTTTAAAAGATGAGGAAAAATTATATGAATGTGTGTGTTTTACTGTTCAGCTGTGTACTGCATCATTAAGATCCCGTTAAACATTGACTACCAGTATAGAATTATTTTGACTACAGGAGTAGTCAAAATATTTGTTTTGGGTTAAAATTGTAAATGTTTGTATTAACATACATATGAATATTTAACCTGCATTATAATTATTATAAATTTAAAACACCAGTTCACTCTTAGCAAAATTCAGTGGTTATGTTTTATTATGGTTATGAATTTGTAAGTGTACTGTACTATAAATTGTTGGATCTCAGTTCAAAATAAATGTTATGACACTAAAGACCAGTTACTGTACTTGGCATGTAGACATCATAAATCATAGTTATATATTTGAGTCAGCTGATTTGAGTGACAGTTATGTTATTGGGTAATAGTCTTACAACCAGTAATCATTTCAGGATAGCTCTCCATATCCTGTTTGTGTTTTTATTTAGATTATTTTCTATTTGCCAGTACAATGCAACCATTGTTAATGCGTTTTTTTAATTCTATTTATAGGTGCGAACATTATTTGTAAGTGGGCTACCTATGGATGCAAAACCAAGAGAACTCTATTTACTTTTCAGAGCTTATCAAGTGAGTATGGTATCCTCCTAAATCTCCCTATACCAGACATTTTCAAAAAACATTTGAACATTTGAGAGGAGGGATGAGATAGGGTCACAATTATGGGATAATAAGGAATTAGAAACTAAAAATTTCTTTTCCTGTTAAATTGTAAAGCGCCTGTTATTGCTAATTTATGATGTCTAATAACATCATGTTAATGATGATGAAAATGTAGTAAATCGACACACATGAGTAAATCATTTATTAAATTAATAAGCAACAATATATAAAAAGTTAAATAATAAAATACAAAATGTTTGATTACATTATCTGTGATGATAAAATGCAGTAAAATAATGAATGAATAAATAATAATTTAATTAAATTGAAATATAATTTACAATAAAGAACAATAAATAGATATACTTAATTACTTATTAACAAGGCTGGTCTATTAAAAAGTCTTGCCTAAACCAAGTTGTATTAGTATGTAAAAATATATAGGGCTTGGTCATAATAATAATAATAATAATAATAATAATAATAATAGTAGTAATAGTAATAGTAATAATAATAATAATAATAATAGTAATAATACTTCTTCATTTAAAGTTACCGTACAGTAGGCCAATGTTTATTCTAGGCCTACTGCTAATACTGTATATAGAAGATAAGCTGCAGAAAGAGTATAAATGCTGTGATGACCCCATGATCAAGCCTTTTAATTGTTATTCCAATCCATCTATTGAATTGTAAGATTTACAGATTTGAAACCCTTGCTACCAAGTGATTCAAAGAGTAAACAATAACCCACCTAAACTAGAAAAACACATGTAGCCACAGACTTTTATCAATTGATCACGTCCAGATATTTGAACATTATGGCACTCTAGATAGAGGTACGCTTTGGTGGCGTACCAGTTGGTTTGCCATTGTGGTGCATCCCCCTAAAAACATCCGTTATCATCTCCCCCTTCCACCACCACTTGAAGTGTGCTGACCAAACACAAATATTATATCCCTCATACAACCCCTATTGGAAATTTCTGAGCAAATTAAAACTGTTTTTTAAGGGGGGTTTTCCTATATAGAGCTAGAAGGCTGGGGATAAATAGGCAGCCTGATGGGGTCTATGGGCAAGATATCTATAAGGTCAGGGGGAAGCATTGGGAGCTAAATCTTTTGTGATTGTAATTAATCACAATCTTGATGGTTGATGGTGGTTCAGTTTAGGCTAAACCATAAAAAAAACCCCTGTTTGGATTCTGCTTTACAGCACTGCATATTATTAAAGGGTATCACTGTTAAACACTACAGTTTGCCATGCAAACATCGGTATTCTGTAATCTTCTGGCGGTGCTATGTTTCTCACCTACCTTCCTGATTATACACTGTAAAGTCTATAGACAATTCAAAGAACTGATTTTATTTTTGTTGGGCTTTGTGTAGGCATCCCGTTGCTCGATCTCTCTGTTATGCTGAGTGACATCTTTGATGTTTTCGATTCTTGCGAAAAGAATTCGCAAGTGATTTGGGTGGGAATTGGACCTGTGACCTCCAGTAACTAGCCTGGTGTCATGACCACTGGACCACTGAGCTTAGATTATTCTTATTAAAATATCCTCAATACCGTGATGTTACTAGTAATTTAATCAAATGAATGAAGATTTAACTTCAATCTCTCTTAGTTTATTGTGGTTAGTTTTCTATGAGTGTTTTATGTTCCAGTTTCGACTTCCAGAATTATTGTAAGTAAAAAATACAATTACATTTTCTATATATAGTTGTATGTTGAGGAATATTGGCATTGTTGTTAGTGGTATACCTTGTTATCTGTGCCTTTTGTATTTCAAGGTCTCGGCTTTAACGTACTTGCTACACACCTCCAGTATAGTAATGAAGAATAGGCTATACAATGGTTACCCACCGGTATACAAAATGCTTGAGGATTCACAATGATTATTGTTTACCGTGCATTGGTCTGTTTAGGGCCCCAATGAAGATCCTTTTTTATAAAAGAATTCTGTATACTTTCATCCCCTTTTCGAAGGTTTTTCTTATCGTATGATTTACTCATAGCATTGATGGATAGGTATAAAATAAAAGTGAAACAGATGTTTGCGTAATTTTCAAACGTATGTCCCTTTTAATCGTGTTAACGAATGTAAACAAATATTGCTTTCTGTGACATCTTTTCACAACAAAGATGCTCTGAATAATGCTCAATCTAGAACCTCAGATTTTAGTTGGATGTGGACTCTTGAATGTGTGTTGTGTGTATATTTATGCTAGATGGATCCAGATACCCCTCGAGCCTCGCCAATTTTTAACAGTAGAACCCCTTACTAAAATATATACAATAGCAAATATAAACCTTGTTCATATACCGCCATCATGTGATGACAACGTATGTTAGAATGTAGTTGGTGCAGAAAAAAGCATGGTTTGAATCAAAAGATTGGGGTTCGTGTCCAAAGCTGACCATTTATGTGTGTTTCTGTTAAAGAAGTAGAAATTGGTGTGGCAGCTACTCGGTAGTTTTAAACATGAATGCTTGATCGCTGTTCAATATGAAAATTTTGATACTTGCTATGTCATCTTAGTGTCCTGTACTATTGAAAGTTTAACTGTGACGTTTTAATGAACATTTTTCAATTCATATTTTATTAATTTGTAACTTTTGTATCTGTTTATATTTTATGTACAGTTTTTTAGTTAGGTTTCTTGCACATTTTATATTATATTCTGTAGTGCCATTGTAGCCAGTATTAACATCTACCTAAAGATGTTAACTGAGTATAATTAATAACAAATAAGAGACAGTTTGGTAGCAGTAAAATTACAAATTCTACAATGTTCAAAATATTTTGTTTTGTTTAACCAGTAATAAGTTTCATCTACTTGAAATTTTGGCAAGCCGTGATCATGCAATGACATTAATTCTACCATTATTAGATGAAGAAAAATCATTTTGATGCATCTTGTTTTAAGGAAAGACAACAAAAATAAATTTTTCACATTTGACATGGAGTAATTTTCTTCATTTCACTTCATGTCATTTATTTGATAAATCAATGTTTCATAACCAATGTTCTTTTAACAGATGGCTATGTCTCTCTGCATTTTTATTATCTCTGAAAATGAAGCCAGAAATTATAAATTAAAAATTTCAGAACCTGTGTAGTAGAACATCTGTTGCAGCCTTAAAAAAATTCAATAACTTCCTTAAAAACATCCCTGCAAACTGAATTCATACTAAGTAAAAAATTGCTATCGATGTATAGATATTAGAAGACGTTTTTAAATGTATGAAAGCTTGTTGATAGTAAAGATATCATTTTCTATTATGATTAATAGAAATGCAATGATATATAAAGTGCTCACTATTTATTATGTTAAAGCTATAAACATAAAATATACAGTATCGCCATGGGCTGGGAATAACAATAGCAGTATACATGTCCTTGAGATAACAATGAGAATATCATTAATTTCACTAGTTCAGGAAAAAAATTGTTTTGTGTATGAGATGCAAAGCAATTATTATCCATAGTGAGTAATCGTGCAAGTAGGGTGTGGTGTGAGTTTACCTGATGGGTTTTAATTAAGAGAAAAAAATACAGAGGAACTGGCTTAGTTGATACTTTACGTGAAACACGCTGCATGAAACAACCTATTAAAAGCCGAGTTGAAATGGAGGCATGTTTTTTTAAAAATATTTTCCCTGTATTGATCGATTGATTGATTATTTTGTTAGTTGAAAACAGACAGATAAATTGTAAACAAAGTTGAAAAACAGAAAATCTTTCAATAACTATAAATGTTTTAAAACCATACAAAAAATTTAATTGTAATTAAAAAAAATCATTCTCAATAATTGTATTAAAAAACTTATTTACCAATATAAATGTAGGATGTTTCCTACAACACTATTTAATAATTAGAATCACCAGCCTTCCTTTCGAAAGATCAAATGCCACCAAAATAAATAATTCCCCTCCCGTAACTTTTTCTACCAGCCCCAACAGGGGACCTAGGTGCCCCTTTGTTCCTCTGTCTCCAATAGGAGTTGGAGTTAAGAACCTCCCCTATGCTTTACAGTGCCGTATAAATAATAATACCCATATGTTATTTATATACATATAATACTATATTTATTATAGTATTTCTATTTATTTATTTTTTTTCATTTTATAAAATTAAAAAAGAAAATAGTATTATATCTAATAGGTTTTTTTCAAACAGATAGATAAGCTACATTTTTATGATGGTATTTTAATTAGGAAATTCAATTTTAATTAAGTGTAATACTATTTTATGCAAATAATACATTTGTAGCCTATACATGTGCTGACCATTTTTAAAAACGAAAATTGTCTAGTGGGTTTGCAAACAAATGAGAATGTACATTTTGAAAAATGTTATCGTATGTTACGTTTAATTTGGAAATTCAGTCTCTGTGTGTCTTTATGCCACCATTCCTTTTCTGTGGGCGACCTGCCTTATGCCATCAAGACAAGTCGCTATCTTTCGGGCTTTTAATGAAACAGCTGACAAACAACATGATGAAGTATTATTTGAGTATGATGTTGAATTTGTCATGATTAATAGTTTATATGACAGTTTGCAAATTTCACACTACGTTTAAACAAATGAAATGATGATTATTTGATGATTATTAGTTGTAAAGTGACCTGAAGGTCTTACAGTACACATATTTATCTAATTAATATTAATCATGAAAGTGCACCATTGTACCGGAAGTATATATATATATAAAAAAAACTGGAAGGCTGCATTGGCAAAAAAAATAGTAAAAACAAGAAACTTCGGAGAGAAGCAAACGTTTTCGGTTATCAACCTTTGTCAAGATGTATATATATATGTGTGTGTGTGTATATATATGTATGTATATACTGTATATAGTGTACTGTATCTAATATATAATTAGTTCTTTAGATAACTTGAAGGAAAATGAAGGAAAAATATTTAAAAAAAAATAGTATATGAATAATGGCAGCAGTCCC